AGTTGAATCCCTTGAAAGACATCTTAGATGTCTCCAATTTTCACTTTGATTTTCACCCCCATGACTTCATTAAGAATTCTCTGGCCCATGTACACACAGAGTAGGTACTCAGTATACTCAGTAAATACCACTTGAATAGTTTCATACATGCTCACAAAAGAACACTGAGATATGGGTTTTAAGATACGCATTTTACAGGTGCTCCCGTTAAAGTCCCCAGTGACCTGGACTGTGTTTGCCTGCCCTGATCAGTTCTCAGTTCTCATCTTCCTTAATCTTTCAGCAGCAATTAAGGAAGTGAACACATTCTCGTCTTTGAAATAATTTTGTTTCTGGACCTTCAGAACACAACGCTGGCATGATTTACCCTCTCTCGCGGACCACTCTCTCTTCTTCTGCTCCGGGTTGCTCACTTCCCCTCGCGATGCCACTTACCTCAGAGTTCTTCTCTATCTACACTCGTTTTCTCAGTCTTCTCATCCAGTGTCGTTACTTCAAATGCTGTCAACTCCCAAACTTGTATTTCTCTCCCAGCTCTTCCCACAGATTTCTAATCTCAAACATCCACCTGCCTGCTCAGCATTTCACTTGGATGTTTAATAGGAATGTCCACAAACATATTCCTGACCTTCCTCCCCAGTCCCTTTCCTCCCACAGCTTTCCGTACCTCACCTTAATTTTTTGGGTTGCTCAGGCCAGCAAATTTAGTGTAATCCTTGCTTCTTCTTTCTCTCATACCCCAGTCCAATCCTCAGCAAATACTCTTGGCTTTACCTCGAAATCTATCCAATATCTAACCATGCCTCACTGCTCCCACTGTTACCATTTGGTCTAAACGACCATCATCTCACCTAGCCTTCTGTGACCCCCTGTGTGAAATTCCAGCCCATCCTCAAGACTCTGGAATGACCTTCACCTTGCCATCTCTGCTTTATTTATCCCCAATGCACTTGCCATCGTTTTAAAGACTATATATTTTCGTTTTTTCCCCTTGGTTTTTTCCTTCCGTAGAATGGAAGTTTCAAGAGGATAGGGACTTTGTCAGTTGTAATCAAATATTTGTATCCCTAATGCCTCGGTACCCATAGTCAAATGAATTGATACATCATCACAAAAACACTATAAGGTAGATAGTAGATGCTCACCTTGAGATGATGAAACCAAGGCTCAGAATGTTGAGGTCATCTGCTGAAGGTCATAGAAATAGAAGTGTATGAATTGCAATTTGGACCAAGATCCCTCTACTCTCAAGTCCAGATTCTTAAACAGCATACTATTCTGGGTCCAAGCCCATAGTTTTCCCACTGAACTTATCAATTTTTATTTTCAGAAGTTCTTTAAATTACCACAAGGCTTTCAATTTTCTTGTACATTTTGATGGCAGTTCCTTTCAAAGCTGTGGCTTATAATCAGTACTCAAGTACCAAACGTATTCTACAGAGCCATTCTTTGGCCCTTGCGTTGCCTTGGAATTTTGTGACGCTATCATATTAGCAAAGTGATTCCTCACCGTCTTGAATATACCTGCTCTCAAATCTAGAACCAGAAAACTCTAAGGAGCCTAAGAGAAGCAAAAGTATTCTTAAATTTAGATTCTAACGATATGCCCCTTAAACGCAGTTCTTACTCCATCTATTTATTCTTCCTTCAGACAGAATTGAAAACATCCTTCCATTCACTCACCTAGTAATTGTTGACAATTTCTATGGGCAAGGCCCTATTTCATGCACTCAGGACATAGCAGCAAATAAAACAGACCCATTCCCTGCTCTCAAGGAGCTTACATGCTAGTGATGGGAGGAAGGATAGTATTCAATAATAAATTAATATGCCATGTGGTGAAAAATACCACAAACATAAATAAAACAGAGAGGTGCTAGCAAAGGTATAAAGTCAACTCTGTGAGATCTGGAACATTATTATTATTATTCACCTCTGGAACACTAGTACCTAGAAAAATAATAGCATACGGTAAGCCCAAGGTAAACATTGTGTGAAATGGTGAGAATGAATGAAAAAAATGACAGTGGAGAAGAGAGCCCAGTTATGAGGTTCCTGCAGTAGCCCAAGCAATAGCTGTTGGTGGCAGACACAGACCGCTTCTAGATGGAAAGAAGATGTTAGAGTCTGGATGTATTTAGAAGACAGAACCAATCGCGTTTCTTGACAGATTGGATAGGCAGTGCACATTGGACTGGATTGAGAGAGAGGAGTTAAGGTTTGGATGATGCCAAAACTTTGGCCTGAGCAACTAGAATAACCTAGCCTTGATTGAAGTGTGGAATTAGAGGGGTGTGGTAGGTTTGGTGCCCAAATTAAGTTTCTTTGAGACTAAATTAAGTCTCCCTGTGTCTCCCTCCCTCTCTCATAGTTTAATGAGATACCTGAGCCAAACACTGCTGTGTATCCAAGGAAAACCATTCGGAGTCATTCTACTGTAGAAAACCTACATGCTGCTTCCACTCCTTACTCTCCTGGCCAGACACAGAGGCATCTTGTATTGATGGCTGCCTTTCTTTTTACTCCTTGAATAAGAAGGACAAAGCCAAGGACAGCTTTTGCCTTCAAACACATTGTAGACACTTGATTTTCATTTAAAAAAGCAAAAGATGATTGAAGGGGATGCAAGAGGGAAAAAACAGTGTTTGTTGTACATTTCTAATAATGGCAACAGCTTGAATCGATTAGCTGGTTATTATGCATTCCTGCGCGTGGCTTGTAATGGCAGTCTGATCCAGAGAAACACGTCTCAGGTCCTATTCTGCGTGGCCTCTTGCAGGCAAACCTGACCTCAAAGAGTTTAACCAAGGCTTGTAATTTGAAACAACACATACACACACACACATACACAAATCAAGTGACCAAAAATATGGTATAAATTTCTTTAGTAGAGAGTGTTCTGGATTATGACTTTAACAGAGGAGATAATTAGATTGCAAGAGAGGCAAAGAAACCCAGGAAATACAAAAAAAGAAAAAAGGAGAAGAAAAGTAAAGGCAATGGTATTTCTTTAGGATTGTAAATGTCCCCTATGAATGTTTGCTTTTTTAAAGAAGAACTTGCAAGACCCCTTCAAACAAATTAGGGACAGTAAAATCTATGGCAGGATTCAGAGAGACCTCTGCAGGGTTTCAAAATATGTAGTTTAATTCTCTTGTACTCTGTTCTAAATATAATCCTGCTTATTTGCATGCCAATCCCCAGAATGCTTTGTAATTTCACAACTCTTGGCTAGTGGTCTGACTTAAGCTTTAAGAACAAAGCAAAATGTTCAGGGCGTGCCTTTGGCTTCAGCGTTTTTCAACTGCCTGCACCACCTCCCCCTACCCCCGTCTCTCTGCTTTTGCAAAATTATTCAGGGAGGTGACCTTTGTCTGGCATTCATCGTCCCAGTCGGAGTAACAGAAATGAAGTGGAGAGTGCTGTGGACTTTCCTGTGAGGACCACATTCAGTCCAGTTACCTGTGAATGAGCCAGAAGCTTGGATGAACTTGAGCAAGGAGTGTTTTGGGGGGATGGGGGGCAGGCTTAGTCTCCCCCTTGATTCTGTGACCAGGCTGGTTCATTTCAGGTTTCTGGAAAGCCCAAGCTGAGTGTTCTGTACTCTCTTTCTGTGGATGCTTTTTATAGCATCTGCATTGCAAAGTAAGTCTTCAACTTCATGAAAAGATGTCCTGAAATGTGGTTAGTGTTTTGCCTAACAGAACCATGAATTTGTGATCCCTAACACAAACCTAGTTATGCTTAGTGATACGTAAAGATTTTCTATTTTGTAGGGCATTAGGATCCACAGTTGAGGAGTGGGAAGGATAGGAGACTTATTTGAGAGGGTTTTATAATTTTTGCATAGCAAGCTGTTGTTGTTATTAAAGTGGTGTGATTGGTGGTGGTTTTCAGGAGAACTAGAAGGTCCCTAGACAAGCACAGCCCTCAACTCCTACCCCCGGGGCCCCCTCCAAATTTGGCGGTTTAACATGAGCGGGTAGCTAAAAAACAATAAATTCCAGCACTGAAAGGGCATGTTTTTGCTTCTAATAACATCGTGACTTTTGTCTATCGGTCCTGTTGCCTAAAGTAAACTCGGGATGGTGAGCAGCGCACATGGTGAGCAGCTCACCTGGCTGCACAGCAGGAACGTGCCGGGGCTCTGCCTTCCCCTACAGATGTTTTCTACTTTTTACTCACAGAGCAACATCAAGGCTCTTCGATCCCGAGAACCAGGCAGTTAGGTTCCCTTAAAACATATTATTTTGATAATATTTTTAAAATCCAGAAGGCAGTCCTTAGCTGACACGGTGCCCCCCGCACCCCTCCGAAAGTGAGTGGGTTGCTTAACACTTTCTGCCACCTATTCTGTTGGTCTCAGGATAACCGCGGGCCGGCCCGGCTGCACGGGATCTGACCAGTTCGCGACTTTTTAAGGGTCTGCGCTGCCTGTTTACACACCCAGCGACCAACAGAGGCGGCGCCCAGCCCTGGGCTGTAACAAAGGCGGCGGCCGCCCCATCCAGCCCGCGCGAGGGACGGCCAAGGATCGCAGGTTCCGGGAGGGACGTCCGGAGGGGCCACTTTTCTGAAATGAGGGTGGAGATGGGAGAAACCGGACCAGGGGCTGCGGGGAGGCCATGGCGCTTTCCGGAGCTTGGCCGGGAGGGCGACCCCAGAGCTTCTCTTCCTGCACCGGGACTGCAGCATCACCGCCGGGAAAAGTCCCTCGCGCCCCCTGGTGGCCGTGGAGCAGACTGACTCCGCCGTACTCGCAAGTCACCAAAAAAAAAAAAAAAAAAAAAAAGGAGAAAAAGAAAAAGTGGGTGAGGCAGATGCAAAGAGGAAAATCAATAGGGATAAGAGAGAAGAGGGAGGAGTCGCAGACCAGCCATTCTTGTCTTACGGGGTCCCAGCTGGCACCGCAAAAGAAAAAAAAAAAAAGCCCGGGCGTGAACGCGAGTGGAGGAGGGTGTGTGTGGCGGGGGGGTCGGGGGTGAAAGGGAGACCAGGGAGATTTACTATTGTCTCTGGCAGCCGCCGCGGGAGCCCGGGAGGGGGGCGGAGGCGAGGGGAGGCGGCGGCCAGCGCACCATTCGCTCCACCTGATCTCCGGGCGCTGTGCGCTGAGGAAGGCGCGGGCGAGCAGGACCCGAAAAAGGAGGGAGGGACGCGGCTGCTCAGCCACCGCCGCCACCATGTCCTACCAAGGCAAGAAGAACATCCCGCGGATCACGGTGAGTCCGGGAGCCGCCGCCTCCCTCCCTCTCTCGCCGGGTCCCCCTGCGCCGCGGGCGGGGCGGCTTGGATCCCTAGTCCGTCCCCGGGGAGGCACGGGGACCCGGGTCTGGGGGGGTGGAGAGCGGCGGTCAGTCCAGCCGGCGCGGCGGGCGCCACCGAGAACAGAGCGACCCGGGGGTTTGGGGAAAACAAAACAAAGAGGAAACCCAAACACTGGCGCGGAGAGTTTAGGATTATGTAGCCTCCTTTCCCACCAACCCGGTAGTTCCCCAAGAACGTAGGGCTCCCGGCCCTCCCGGAACCCCCGCGCCTCCTGGGGTGTCGGTGTGTGCAGCCCCAGGCCAGGGATGCTTTTTGATTAAGGTTGCTTTTGGCGGGGCGGGGTGTGGAGAGATGACACCTTACCCTAGGGACACTTGGCAGCCCGACCGCGCCCCTCTCCCAGCTCCAGCCCCGTGGCTCTGCCCCCCGCGCCGCTAGGGTGATGGGGTGTCTGGACCTTCCGTCCTCACCCCGTCCCCTTCTTGCCTGCATTCACCCAGTTCCTATTTCTGTGCGTCATATTTGGGACTGGACAGCTAATGTTGGCTGTAGGGGGAATGACAACTTTTGTTTTTTATTTCTCTGCCCTCGATGCATTTTACATTTTTCGTGTCACGTCTCCTCCTCGTTCCAAGAAAAGGCTGAGGTTTTAGAGCAGATTCTCGTTTGTAGTCGCAGGCGCACGCCGTGTGCAGGTCCTGTCCAAGTGCCATTGTGTGCGAGACGTAGCCACTCACGGCCTGCGGGTGTCAGATGCGCCGGGCGAGTACCTTGGCGGGGTGGGGAAGGGACGTGCCTTTATCAGGTATAGAAGGAGCCACGGTTACACCAGCGTCCAACAAGATGCTCTCGCAACAGAATGCGGGGCTGGGCTTCCTCCAGGATGCCCTGAAATGATGCCCCCAAATGGAAGGGACTTACTATAGGCTGTAATGGGCATTAAGAGGAAAAAAACCAAAACAACAAAAAATCCACCGGCATTTGTTAGTTTAGCACGAACCAGTGCAGTTGTGCTTTGTGTCTGTAGTGAAGGAGGTGTGTGTGTGGTGTGTGTGATGTGTAGTAAGGGAATGGGTGGCTACTCCATCTTTGCAAGGCGAACAAAGGAAGTGAAGAGCTGGCCCCTGGGAGGCTCTGCAGCTGCCCTAGAGCAGAGCTGTACCTGCTACTGTAGTTAATTTGTCCCCAATTCATTAGGTTTTGCTGTGGGCATGAGTCTGTTTGCACTCGTTTGGTTATGCTTGGAACACCCTTTGCCTCCGCCATGCGGGACCTTCCCCCCTGCAGGCAGGAGGAAGCTGTTCTTGTCTCTGGTGCACTTTGTCAAGTGGTTTATTTTGGTTGCAGCATCCTCCCTTTCTCCTGCACCTGAGCTTCATTCCACACAAGTGCGCCCCACCCCTACCAGCTATTTATCTGGTCCCAGGGAAGGAACACTTCCCCCTGGGGGAAAAGTTGGGATGGGTGGGGGTCTTTCCGACAGGTAGAGGCCATAGGTTTAAACCCAACCTTTCTGCTTTCCCATTCATTCCATTATCCCTTACCATTCATTACCTGATGGCATTGACTTCCCACTATAGAAGAAATGTTGTGAGTCTTTTACAAGGCACAGTTATTTTCTCAGTGCCAATTGTCTTTGCAAAGAGCTGTGGAAGGTATTGTAAGAAAAAAAGGCTGATTAGGACACAAGCTCAATTTTTCCCTAACTCAGGTGAACCCTAGTTCTCACGCTATTACACGCGGAGGTAGGCTTGAATATATGCCACTTGTTTTATGTCCAGTATGTGTTTGCCAATTCTGTTTGGGATAAGCAGAAAACAGATTTTTTTTTTCCTGTTTGTTTTTTTCTTCCTAGTCTGAAGATTGCAATGGTTCTTCTAATGGGACTTAGCTTGTGACATGGCATTGAGGGCCACACCCATTCTTCTGGGTGTCACTTAAGCCACCCTTAGGGAAAAACACATTTAGCTCTGATAACTTACTTGCCTTAAAAGGCACCACGTGTGAGGTTATCCCCTAATTCCAGGGCCCGGTTTGCAAGAGGTTCCCTTTTGTTCCTGTTTGGATGCTCTTCCCTGGGGCGCATCCTTCATTTTCAGTGCGGCTTCCATTCTTTCTCCCTGCGTGCGGGGCGTGGTGCTGCATAACAGCCTCTGCCTGGAGCTGGGGCTGTGTCTCCAGCAGCTGTGACAGGAATGTACAGTGGTTGTGAATTTCTTCAAGCCAGGCTGCCCGATATTCATTGTTGAAAGCCGGGCCGGGGCTGGCGGGGGGGTGGGGGGGGGGACAGAAGCAGGGAGAAGAGGAGTAGGGCGGGAGGGAGGGGGATGCTGGTCTTTGGGAGCAAGAAATGCATTGGTAGCTCCCCCCCACCCATGCTTTGTGTTTGTATTGCCATGAACAAGGATTCTATTTCAGGATGAAATACTTTCGTACTTTTGCATGTCTAGAGATGACCGTGGTTGTCTACATACTGCAAGGATTCGAATATTTATCTTTCTGAATAACATAGAAATATGGACACAGAGATATACAGAAAATGTGATTAAAGATTTAAATACAACATTTGTCTCCTACTGTCAATTCTAGTTCATTTTTAATGGTAAGACTGTAGAATTTGAATTAAGTTTACTGTCCTCTCCATATTCCTTCTAGTGAAGGCTGCCCCACCCAGTAGTTAAAATGTCACTCTAAGCTGAGGCCCGATGGGAGCAGTCTTTCTTGGCCCTGCACCCCTTGTCTTCCCAAGCACCACCCTCTGCCACAATGTGGGGGGCCGCTATAAGGTTTCGTTTGTTGTCTTTCCTTCCACCTATTTGTGCTGCCTTCCTGAGATTAAAGCCTTCTCGCTACCCTGTGCTTATTGGTTTCCCGGAGCAGGTGGGGGTTTCTCTGTGGCTGGTAGAATTGTCTGGGGCTTTCCCCGTATCTCAGACCTCAGATGTCACTGTGCCTTCTTAGGTCATCTACTTGCATGACCTGAACCATCTACCTCAACACGAGACCTTGTTTCTAAATGTCAGAGACTGGCATTTTGGAGGTGGCCCAGCAAATCAGAGCAGGGACCTTGTACTGTCATTTGCCTCTGTTTCCACTCCCTAGCAAAGTGCCTAGCACAGAGATACCTAGTGGTGATCCAGTAAATCAATAAAAGAATTTAAAAGAGATCCTAATAAGAATAGCTCACACCCATTAAGTGTTTATTACATGCATCATCTCATTTCATCCTTGAATCAACACTGAGAGGTACTGTAGTTACCCCGATTTGGAAAAAAAAACAAAAACCCCTGAAAATCGAATGCATTTGGCCCAGGCGAGAGCTCGAATGTTAGAGGCGGGACTCAAAGCTACACACCTGGCTGAAATCAAAGTGCATGTCCCTGACTCTACCATCACTGTGACTTGAGGTTGGCAAGGCAGACGGTTTAGAAGACTCAGTCTCTGCTCCAGGTAGGACCTGAGAAGCCACTGTCAACCAATCCTGTAACACAGTCCTTCTTACTTGTTCTAATCAGTGAATACAAATAACAATTTTAGGAGCAGCAGCTACCATATCAATGCTACAGGTAGGAAGTTGGGATAATTACAGTCACTGTTTTTCTCTGACAGAAGCTACAATTGGAAGCTGACCACCGGAGTGGTAGGGACCTAACAGTTTCCAGTGCTTCATTTGTATTCTATTCGTAGACTCCCTGCAAAAACCCGTTTCACAGTTATGGAAATTGAAGCACAGGTAGACAGGCGAAGTCATTTACCCGGTGTTACCCAGTGAGAATGTGGGGGCAACGCTGGAGATGAAGCCCAGGTCGTCTGACTTCGCAGCCTCCGCTGCGCTGGTACAGCCCCTGCCTCCCAGAGCTGCGTGCAGAGGAGGTTTTCGAAGGTGTGGCCGAAGAGCTCCTGAGCTCCCTCCAGGAGCCCAATAGCAGAGAAATGGCTTTTTGCAAATACTATTTGGGTTCCCGTAAATACTGCCTGGCACTGCCTGGCAGGTAGCGCGTTTCCGCTGCCTTGGCGGTTGTGACATTTGTGTGGGATGTTTGGGAACTGCCGGCTGACACCCTCAGTCAGGGAGCGGACCTGGGGAGTGTGGTCTGGGGCATCTCATCGGAGGGCAGAGTGTGATTGTGCGCGGTGTGGGATTTTTTTGGGGGGGGGAGTGAAGGGGGCTTATAATCTTGGGGAATACCCAGATCTCTGCAACACTTGAACGGGGTGGGGGGGGAGTGCGGCCCCACCCTTCGATCCTGCCTTCCTCTTGCTTCAATCGGTGTCACTTCATATTAGAACGGATGTGAGGACCTGGAGGACTAGAGCTTGGGAGGCCGAGGGAAGGGAGGTCACCCCAAGCCAGCTCTATCCGTGTAAGGCACCATGGAAGGGCAATTCCAGTGTAAGAGACAGAGGAAAACTATCAAAGACATACCAATGGCCAGCATCTTAGATAGCTGATCACGGAAACCGCAGCTCAGGCCCTACCTGGGGTGCTCATTTGTTACTTTATAGTCTGAGCAGGTATGTGCTGCTTCTCCGCCAGGTTATTCCTCTTTCCCAAAAGATAGCGAATAAAGAGCTATTAGTAACCGATGGAGCCAGGCTGGGTGCTTGGGGGAATTCTAGAGAAATCCATTTCCTGAGGGAATTCAAGTCTCTGTGGTAGAACTGCCAGTTTATAAATAAAAACCCATCCTGCTTATCTCCCTGGGCTGTTGAAAGGTTCAAATGAGGAAGGGAGCCTGAAAATGGTCTGTGAACCCCGGATGTATTTGGGAGAGAGTAAACGGATTTATTTATAAAACCTCAGCTGCTTTGGAATGTGGAAAATAATAAAAGACGACTTGACAAAAGTCTGGAGTAGAAAGAGATAAGGAATTTTTTTTAAAATACAAGTCTTCAGAAACAAATAAAAGGTAGCACAATGTTATATAAAAACATCCCCCCCTTTAATTATGAC